GAATTAAATAAATGAGGTTCAGAGTGCTGCTTGCCTACAAGCTCTGCATTGTTCTCAATCAGATAATATACAGCTCAGCCTTTCATAGCAAAGCAGCTGTGACAGCTTGCATCCTAACCAGGAACCTCTCCAAAAGAAAGCAGAATGGCTGCAGGCAGGGAAATGAAGTTATGTTAGGGTGGCCATGTGCCCTCCTTTACAGAAGAGCATCCTCTGATGGAAGGAGCAGAGGGACAGTCCTCTATTTTGATGTGTTCTTCATTTGAAGGGCTGCAACTTAAGAGTATCTGCCTTGCACACAGAAGGTCTCAAGTTCCATCCCTGACATCTCCAACAGGGGTAGGAAAAACTCCTGCCTGAAACCCTTGAGAGTCACTGTCCATCAAAGTAGACCAGGATTCCCCAAACTTAGGTCTCCAGCTGTTTTTGGACTACAATTCCCACCATCCCTGGCCACTGGTCCTGCTAGCTAGGGATGATGGGAGTTGTGGTCCAAAAACAGCCAGAGAGACACAGACACCCAAGTTTGGGAAACCCTGGTGCAGACAATACTGAGCTAGAGGAACCAATACCCTGGCTCAGTACAAGGCTGCTTCCTATGTTCCTGTGTTGACAGGCTGCCCAGTGTCTTGGTGGCAACAGTGGAGCATCTCAGGCTAAATGTGGCCCTGTAAGCTTCTCTGTCTAGCTCTCAGTGCTCTCCCCCTGCCACACATCTTCACCAGGCCGCACTCCTCATCAGTCCTGCTTTGTACCCTCCTCCAAGTGCTTTAGCTTGGCTGGAATGTGTCCTCGAATTGTAATAATGTCGCTTGCTTGACTAGGTGGAGGGAAGGATGTGGGGGGGAGACACCTCTGACTTGTTCACATCTGAGGAAATGTACAAGAGGTGATAATTACATCCTTTGCTCTGCCTGCTTTTCACCACTGGCTCTGCCCACCTCTGACATGTTGCTCCTGGAAGGCTGCTCCTGCAGGCATGTGGCCCTCAGATTGTCCTCAGATTGCTGTAGGTGGCGGCCATTTCCTCGATTACATTACATTCCTCGGTTACATTAAACTAACTTATTTGGCCCAAACAAATATGGCGGCCGGATGGAGCCAGTTGTGTGTTTTTATTTCCTTTTTAAACCTGCTGGTGCCAGGCCTGTACACTGCCTTTATTTTGAAACATATCCACGCTGGGAGGACCCCATTAATTACTTCCCTGCTGGATCTGCAAAGCCTGAACTAAAATAAGTAGCAATCCTTCTTTCCTCAGGTTATGGAAGTGAACCTGACTCATACCTTCAGATAAATAGACAGATAGAGGAAATAACTGGAATAAAGCTCAAATCCATGTGTGTGGAGAAGCTCATACTGATAACATTTGTGCTTGCCTGGACTAACTAATTCACACACATTTCTCTCCGATGCTGAGGACGTATAGCTTTCGGTGTCTGAGAGAGATGTGCATTAGAAAATAAGAGTAACATTGACATCTTGTGGAATAGGTAAATTACTGCAGGGATGACCATTTGGAGAGAAGTGGGGAAGAAACTTTTGAAAACAGGTGTTGTGAAAAGCCAACCACCATCCACGTGATATAATGACCAAAAGCAAGCAGGAAGTAAAAGACTCCAATAAATAGATTGAATAATTGGGGAGTGGGAGTGAATGGCATTGGGGAGTATTTCATGGTAGCTATGGTCTTTTCTTGAACAGGAGTCATAAATTTATTGCTACAGGGATCTCTCCCACTTCTGAACCATATCTAAGCCAAGCTGCCAAGGTTCCCTGAAGTGTAATAAGACCCACATCCATCAACTTTGACTTTCTGTTTATATATGTAAGTCAGAATTGTTTCATCTGTAACACCGAATTTATGTTTGCTAAAATGTTGGTTCTTGTCTTATTTTAATTTATTGATTTGTTTTGTGAACTGCTTTCTCCTGCTGGCTCCCCTCCAACCTAAACTCCTTAGTGTAATAAGTGTGTGCTTGTTGTACACTGCTTTCGGCATGGATCATTGTGGAAAGGCAGCATAGAAATTGATTCGATCAGTCTCTTGATCTCCTAGCAATAAGCTTAGGTTACGATGGACAACAGGCACAGAGGGCTCTATTGCAAACACATACTCTCATTTGATGCTCGTGCATCCAAGTTCGAGTTCCGAGGCCATATACAAAAAGGCTGGCACTCCTGAAGGAATACTTCAATCGGTTAGACATCTCGAGAAAGAACTCATTAGACACTGTTTCCTGTTTTCCCCCATCCAACATTGGTCCCATTTTGCTCTCTAGCTTAACATTCTGACAAAACCTCCTATCTTATCAGTCCTTCTGGATCCAGCAATTCCCTCGCCGCTCAAGGCAAAGGGAAGCCATCCCTTACCGCCAGTGACAAGGACAAAACAAAACAAAAAGGATCTTAAAGGGCTCTCTTTCTTTTGTGCCTGAAGATCACTTGCTGCAAAGCTTCCGTAGCACAAAACACCTTCTTCGGAGATACCAAGAACCGGATAACTCCAGCAACTGTATTTATATTTACAAAAATAGCTTTTTAAAAAAAGTAAACATAAATTGAAATAAAGGCAATGCTGCCCTCTTCAGGAAAAACATCAAACTCCACTGCGGGCTAGTTTAATCCTCCTGTTTCTCCCAACTTTCCAAAGGTCTTCCAAGTCCATTTTGTATTCAACATTTCCCTCCTGGCTTCAACAAATGCTTCAATGTAGTAAGGTGCTCATGGTGCACACAAGACGAAGTGGTGGAATTTGCTTCCACAAGACATGGGCTCAAACAAACTATTAATAAAATTCATGGAGGGAAAGTCTATCCACAACTACTACTAATGATAGCTGCAGGCAACCTGCAGGCAGAGTACAAGTGTGCCTCCAAATCATCCTGTTGTCGGGGAGCAATAATGAGAGGTTATTGTGTTCATTCCCTGCTTGGGTGCTTCCCAGAGACGTTGGGCAGTATGAAAAATAGGATGTTATACTAGATGGATCACTGTTCATATCTAGCTTTATTTATGTTATTGTGTTCTGTTGTTGTTGTTATATTACCCACTATATTCCAATGCCATTCCAGAAAATATTTTGTACCTCTTGTCAAGCACTGGTCTTAGGGTAACTCACAAGGTCTCTCTTTTTGCCCTAGCTTCAATGGAAATCCAGGAAAGAGATATTAATGAGATTTGCAGTTGGCTGCTTTCGGGGTGCTTTTATTTAACCATAATACTTTTTAATAGCTAATGTTTTTATCTGTATTATCTTCACCCTTATAGTATGTAAGGTTTATATATAAGGTAAAGGTAAAGGGACCCCTGACAGTTAGGTCCAGTCATGGCCGACTCTGGGGTTTGCAGTGCTCATCTTACTTTATTGGCCGAGGGAGCCAGCGTACAGCTTCCAGGTCATGTGGCCAGCATGACTAAGCCACTTCTGGCAAACCAGAGCAGCACACGGAAAAGCCGTTTACTTTCCCGCCGGAGCAGTACCTATTTCTCTACTTGCATTCTGATGTGCTTTCGAACTGCTAGGTTGGCAGGAAAGGTTTATATATGTTACATGTGATTTACGTAGTATCGTTATGATGCAGGTTTTTATATGGTTCTAGGTGGCAATGTGATTTTGTGCAGTATTTCATACTGTTGGTTCTTGTTGTACCTATTTATCTGATATGTGAATGGCCCATGGCCCAAGCATTAATAAACTACTACTACTGCTACATTGCCCACCATTCACCCTGAGGTCCCTGGGAGAGTTGGAACGTTAAAACACAATTATTAAAACAACTTAAAACAACTTACAACCACAGAAATAAGGTGGGACCTAAAAATATATACCCCTCAAGTGTCAATAACATCTTCAGTATTCACCAGAAGCTGTACAGTGATGGTGCCAGATGAGCCACTGTGGGGAAGGAGTGCCACAACTTAGGGGCTGCCACAAAGAAGGCCCTCTCCTGACACACACACACACACACACACACACACACACAGTTTCTGAGTGCAGAGGAGCTACCAACAAGGTCCCCTCTGCCAATCTTAGCACCCAAGAGGGTCTGTAGGGAAAGTGGCAGTCTTTCAGGTATTTGGGGTCTGAGTCATTTAGTGCCTTGAATTGGACCTGGAAATTAAGTGGGAGCCAGTACAGCTGTGAGATCTAGAGGGAACCTCAGCTAGTAACCTGACTGCTGCATTTTGAACCCATTGATGTTTCTGTGTTGGCTTCAAGGTAAAGCGTAGAGCGCAGTGCAGTAATGCAATCTGGAAGTTACCAGAAAATGGAGTATCTTGGCCGAGTTGTCTCTGCCCGACAGAGTTGTCTCTCAGCAAACTAGGCAGAGCTGAAAAAACACGCTCCTAGCCAGCAAGGGTGACAGTGTTGAATCCAGGAACATCCCCAAGTTCTGATCCTGCACCTTCCAGGGGAGCGCAACCCCTTTCCAAGGGCGGCCGCCTTCCCACCTCCCATATGTGAGAACTCGGAGCATGTAACACCTCTGTCTGTTTGAACTAAGCATGGTTGCGCTATTGGCTAGATGGGTCCCTTACTGGCCTTTGAGCCTTGACAAATGTGGCACCTTGTTCAATACCCCAGGCACCTTTCTGTGTGGCACATGTACCTGTTAAAGGAATAAAGAAGACAAATCTGATCTCAGGAAATTGGGCAGGTGGTCCACAGACAGAGTCAGGCTCAGAGCTGGAGCAGAGCCAGTTACAGTGGCAAAATCAACTTTGGAGCTGGCAGCATTATAACCTGAAGGGACGGTAGCTCAAAACATGCGTAGCAAACAAAGACAAAGGGAGTTCACAACCTCGTTACAGATTTCCACTTGTATTTTACATCTTGTGAAAATTTCATTGGGCACTACCTGACCCTGCCATTCCTTTGTAAACTTCAATACCACGTTAGCTGTCACTTTCGCCACTTCCCATTTGTCACTAAGAGGGAAAGAAGAAATGATCACCTGAAGAAAATGTCCCCAAATGCTAAAGTACTGCAAACCTACCATGCTGTTCATTTTAGATGAGGAAGACCCCGTCCTCTGCTTTCGCAAGCTGTTCATTTCTTCTGGGTTTCCATCCTTTGGTTTCAAGATCATCCGGCTGCTCCCAGCAGTGCCTTCTGAAGAGGATCTCAGGCGTTTTTCTATGAATCTTCCTTCTCGGTATGGGCTAAAACTACTAGCAAGATTCACTGTGGGATGAGGGGGGGGAGGGGAGAGATGCAGTCAGCACACATGCCTCAAAAGCTATTGAACATTTCTTTAACTCAAAGCCATGTTACTCTGAATAAATTAGCTGTGGCAGGCTGAATCTTGACTGAGGCCCACAGCACTGCATTCAGACAAGAAATGTACAGGAATACATGCTGAAGGATTGGGTGAATTGGCCAATTACATAATTCACTTCCTGAGAAGGCAACAAGAAGCAAGAGGGCTTGTACTGGTCCCAGGGTATGGCTGCCATCTTGTTGAAGCTAATCAGGTCTGGGTCTTGCCAGTTCCTGGATGGGTGATCCCTAGAAACACCCATGTACGCCTCCTTGGGTTCCATGATGGAAGATAATCAGACAAAAGTCCATGGTTCAGTGGGAACAGCTGTAGTTCAGTGGTAATGCATCTACTTCTTGTACAGAAAGTTCCAGGTTCAATCCCCAGCTTCCCTAGTCTCTAACCCTGGATAGCTACTGCCATGCAGCTGGTGCATAAGGCAACTTCCTATGTTCCTCCCTAAGCGATGTATAAATGTAAGAAAATAAAGTATTGCAAAAACCTTTCCCTCCCCGCAGTGAATTTTGTAAAATGCTAGTAAATCAAGCGAATGCTGCTTTAAATTCTACACAGTAATATTCATAAAATATGCCTGTATCTTGACAGGAACTGGTGACAAAATGGACTCCAGTGATAAACAGGAGAAAGGGGTAATGCAAACTCAGAGCATCTTAGAGACAGAGAAGGAAGAAATGTGCAGTGCAGAAAATGTCCACTCTGGTGAAAGCCATAGGAATAGTAATTTACTTCCCCTCCCATGCTCCCCCTAAGTATTTTGTCTTATTTTGAATGTGTACCCTTTCACACGAGATCAGAGGTGGGGAACCGGCAACCTTCCAGATGGTGCTGGTTACAACTCCCAGCAGCCTCCCCAACCATTCGCCATGCTGGCTTGGGCTGGCAAGAGCTGGAGTCCAACAGCACCTGGAAGGCTACAGGTTCTCCACCCCAGCACTGCACAATAATTTTGTCCATCTGGGCCCTGGGCTGCAAATCAGCCTTTCTATAATATTGATCCAATATGTGCCATTTCAAAAGTGCAGCATGCCAACTCTTCCAGGGCCCTAATAGGTGGAAGTTACCATAATTCCTTCATTTGACATTTCTCCAGGAACTTTAGCCCACAGACACCAAAGGCCTAGACGACAGCCCCTAGCTGAATGCCATTTAAATATACTTCAAAACTTCCACCCAGTAATATAGGAGACAACAGAAAAGTTATTATTTGTACCTTTTATTTCATATGCTTGCTGGGCTTGAAAAGGCTGCGGTTCTGAAGACAAAGGAATAATCTTTGACTCAATTACTGGGATGGTTTCTCTAATATGTTCCGGTGCTTTAACTTCTTGTTGGTCTCTAGGTAGTCCCTGTGCTTTGGAGGAACATTCAGTTACTTCCCCCTGGTTTAAGACAAAGGGTTTTAATTGTGCTTCAGCTCCTGAGTTTGCTTCTTCGGGATGGCTGGTCTGTTTAGCAGGAAGCTCTTGCAATAATACTTTTGCATGGTTTCGATTAGAATCGAGGGTTTCAGATATGGCACTATTTTCATTGAGCAGTCCATTTCTGGCCCTGTGACTTCTGGGCGATAGAACAGCACAATGAGGAACACTTTCTGCATGATCCATCTTCCTTAAAAGAACAGGAGGAGGAAGAGGAGGAGCAGTGGCAGCAGCAGCAGCAGTAATGGGATTGAGGAAGATTTGAGAGGTAGAAACATTGTGGGCAAAGGCTTCCCCGTGCAAATTCCCGCAGTTGGGCAGTCCGTCGACCTCTGAGACGGAATCTTCTGTCAGTGCTAGAAACTCGGAAGGCGTCTGGACCGTGGTCAGGTCAGCAGAGAGCAGCGGCGACTGCAAAGAGCTGCCTGCACATTCTATTATGTCAGCAGAACACGGGGAGGAAGACTTCGCCGACACAGGCTCGCTTTCAACACTGGGCTTAATGTCCAACAAGCAAGAAGATGGCTGCACGCAGGAAATGGACTGGCTTTGAGGGACTGGCTTTGAAAACCTGTAGTGTGTCGAGAAGGATTTGGGGAGAAGTTTCCTTGAGGAATGTTTTACGGAGGCCCTGCTTTGGTCCTCTGCAAAGCCAGAGTCGTCCCCTTCATTCTTCCCAGACCTTATGCAATTTATGAAGACGTTTTTATTGGTTGAGGGCTCCCTCCCCTTCTCAAAGTCCTCCGTCAAAGACCTGGTGATCTTCTTGCTCCGAGAACTCCCAAAGCCGACCGAATGCCTCCCTCTGTGCTTCACGTGCTCCTCCAAACCGAGCTTCTGCAAAGTGCCGTGGCCAGACTGAGCACCATTTGAAATGCCCACGTTCTGCCCTGGAGAATCGGCTTTGGGTTCGCTCCCCTTCTTGTGGTGGTGGAAGCTGATGGAAGGCGTGCGGAAGAGGCTCCTGCGCTTGCCGGTGCTACCTGAGCTGGAGTTGGTGCTGGAGGGAGAAGAGCTGTGGACACCAACGGTATTGCTAGAGGTTGGCGAGGATGGGAGGGAATCGTGCCGCCGGCTAATACTTCTCCTGAATATTGGCAGCCGGGACACAATGATCGAACGCCTCGATCCTGAGTCCCCCATCAGGACCTCAATTCCTTGGCCAGGATCAGCCTATGTTAAAATCTGTATGAGTGGAGAAGAGGAGACACGTGTTACTGTTGCTTTCAGACTCAGGAGAAAACAGCAAAATTCAGATACAGTGGAACCTCGGATGCTGAATGCCTTGAAACTCGTATGTTTTGGTTCCCAAACGATCAAAAACCGGAAGTGAGTGTTCTGATTTTCGAACGATTTTTGGAAGCCAAATGTTCAGTGCAGCTTCCGATTGCGTGCAGGAAGCTCCTGCAGCCAATCGGAAGCCACGCCTTGGTTCTCGAACTGTTCCGAGAGTCGAACGGACTCCCAGAACAGATTAAATTCAAGAACCAAGGGACAGCTGTATTCAGATATTACCCCTTAAAAGTATGTCTACAGTTAACGTAGTGTTTCTCAAACTCTGGTCACCAGCTGTTGTTGGACTATAACTCCCATCAACCCTAGCTAGCAGCACCAGCGGTCAGGGACAATGGGGCTTGTAGTCCAACAGCAGCAGGCAACCCAAGTTTGAGAAACACTGAATTAACTTTACGTATCAGTCAAAACAAACAAAAAATGAGCAGCTATCCATGGAGAACTGAAAAAGCAATGGAGAGGCTCCAGCTTTCTGATTCTCTTGAGCAGCTTTTGCCAACCAGGCTCCCCTCCAGATGTTTTGTGCTGTTTGCCCAGTTGTGTTGGGTGTTGCTGATGGGACTTGTAGTCCAAAACTTCAGTAGGCAGTGCCTGGTTTGCAAAGGCTGTTTTAGAGCCATTTGCACTTTTTCAATGGGCCTATAGAAGAGAGAACCCATAAGGGAGTTATTGAGGAAACCAGGCAAACTAGGCTCTATAAAGTTAAATGGTGTGCATCTCTACCTAAGTACTGTAAATTCATTTTTCACCTCGCCCCTGAGAGCTGCTCCCCAGCCAGCATTAAATTCTAACAAGTACATCTGAATACAGATTAATCAAACTGATGTTTTGAAAAAGAAAACAAAATATGCAACAAGGAAAACTTCCCAATCTTTCTAATAAAGCAATTTATTTTACAAGGTGTTTTTTTTAAAAAAAAATTAAAAAATAAAATCTGCTTTTCAACTACTCATTCCAAACATACCACCACAATTTTTCATGATATTAAATCCACCTTCAGATAAGGCTTGCTTTATCCCTTGTACAACAGGGCTTTTGCAGCGCACATTTAAATGAACATTAATTCTTTACATGCTCAAGCTATCTATTTACTCTCTTTGATTGTCTAAACAAACTACAGGTTGATGAGGATGACAGAGCAAAAACCACAGGTCAAAGAAAATGACAGAACTATTACCTCAGAATAAATACCCATGTAAACAACGCAACGATCTTCAAAGTCAATTCTAAATCTGAGAACTAAAGCCAGAAATAAGCTGTATAACATATTGTCTACCAAGCCAAACTTACCGCACCAGTCATGTATGGAGGCCACCAGGGCTCAATAAACCTCCTGTTTTTGATACCTCCCTAGGATTGCAAAACTAGAGACATTGTCTGGTGGGCTGTCTCAACTGGCTGAATAAAAGCTGTGAAGGCCAGCTTTAAAAACATAATTTATGTTGCACGTCAACACAATCTCCACAGCAGTGAGAGATTTCAGGGTTCCAGGCGCTTACCCAGGGTTCATGTTTCCTTTGGAAATGAGACACAGAGGAGACTGTGGTGTCTTTATGATATATGGTTTGTTTACACATGTATACAACCTGAGCACAGCACTCCAAGAGAGTCCTGCTTCTCCCATAGGCTCATTCCTGGGTTCAAGCAGACATCTGACATCTTGCCTGTTGCCCTGCAGCTTGCCTTGTTCTCCCAGTCACATAACTCCTAACTTTGCACTAGGCAGCCACCTAGATTGCTTCTCCATTACATCACCACTTACTGACTGAAAACCTCTTCCTAGAGCACACCGGGCAAACTGCAGTCCTGAAACTCTGCTACTCACCTTTGCTCTTCTACCTGATTCTGTGCTCACCTATTCCCCAGCTGGCACAGATTCTCTGCTTTGTTAATCTCCCTTTTCTTTTCTTTTTTTGCTTAATGACTCTGGCCATTATCAGGCTGGCCTGGACATGGGAAGCTGAGCCCAGCTATTAAGGGTCTGACTTCCCGTTTATTTCTCCAAGCATTGATTAAATTTCAGCAGTTGCTAAATCCAGGCACCCACAAACTCTGCAACCAAAAACACATAACAATAATATCCAACCCAAACTGCCACAGCTAAAAAAAATGAAATTGCCTCAATAATCACACATAAGCTTTGGAGTCTGTTTATTTCCCACTGAAGAAATTAACTTTATGTTAGGTCTTTTCATATTCCAGTTTCCCATCATTATTTGTCATTTTTATGGTGGTTTTCACTGTGCACAGTGCTTTGCAATTCTCATCTTAAATATCCTCATTTTAAAAAGCTCCTAAGAGGAGGCTAGAACCAGCGAGACGCTGGCATCCCAAGGATCACCCAGGGAGCTTCCCAGCTAAGTAAGGATTTGAATGAGCACGAGACACTAACCAACACCCCAAAAGCGACTCATTTATTTACTGCAAGACTGTACCACCACCGCCCCCGTTGAACAATTGCTAATTTGAACGTAATCGTTTTTCCACAGCCTTTTTCATTCCACAAATTTCATCTTGTAACTTTTGCTGAAATCAATCTGCAGCATTTCAGCTTGGAAAGAGATGGGTGTTTGCTGTGTGCATCAGATAATCAGCATTCATGTAGCTGTTTCAAGCCTTCCGTGCACTTCATAGGTTATTTCTGCGGACCTTACAAAAGCACTGATCTCAGGCAAGGGCAGGGCAGGCTACGGGAGAGTAGAGCTCTGATGGTGCTTCAGTAAGCATAAAACTAAGACTGAACTCTGTACACTCCTGACCGAGAATCGACACGACTCCCTCCCTACTGGACTCCAGCCACTTGACAAACACTTTCCTGTTTCAGGTGGCATTTCAAGGCAGCTTTCTGTTTCTATGATGAATTAAGGGAGCTGAGAGTTATTAGGTGACCCCTGTTCCCCAGATCCCTCTTCACAGGGAAAGTAGCTCTGTGAGCTACTAACAACGTTCTGCACCCTCAGCAAGCTACAGTTCCCAGAATTCTTTGGAGGAAGCAACGGCTGTTTAAAAATTGGTATCATACTGCTTTATGGTGTGAACATAACAGCAGAGACTTTGCATCAGAGGAAGGGAAGGGAAAGAGAGATGGAGAAATGGAAGGATGCTGATCAAGAGCATGGGGAGAATTCTGGATTTAACAGCCAAAACATTAACCTGTGTTTATCCCTATCAAAACTGGTGGGGAACCCAGGACCCTGGAGCAAATTCTGGTCCTAGCAGGACCTACCGGCACTGCTGCCTGCCCTAGGATACTCAACATAGCCCAGGGCAAGCTGCAGTTTTGATTTCTAATGCCCCAAGCGATGTTACATTTAGGTACTCTAGGATTTTGCTAGACCCCCCCCCACTGCAACCTGGAGTCAGCCTTAATGCGTGAAATAAAGATGGGATATCGAGCTTCATAGATATGCGCTCACAAGAGACCACCTAAAATGGAGTCTTGCCTGAGGGATAACTTGAACCAGGGGCTTCCCAGCTCTTGTGATATACAGTGGTACTTCGGGTTACAAACACTTCGGGTTACGAACACTTCGGGTTACAGACTCCGCTAACCCGGAAGTAGTACCTCAGGTTAAGAACTTTGCCCCAGGATGAGAACAGAAATCGCGTGCCAGCGGCGCAGCAGCAGCCAGAGGCTCCATTAGCTAAAGTGGACCTCTGGAACGAATTAAGTTCGTAACCAGAGGTACAACTGTACTGCATCAGCTCTCCCACTCATGCTACATTCCTGGATGAAAAAAGCACCCCAAAATGCTGCTTTTTCAGCAAAAAAAAAAAAAAAAGGCCACAGAAGACTTTATTTCTTTATTTTAACTGCTGACACTGCCGGTTTTAATTCAGCATACACAAGACACTGTGGATTCCCTCTGGTATATGTGTTGCTTTTTTAAGGACATAATTATTTTTATGCATACGGAACCAGAAGTCGGAATCACAGCCCCGAGGGGAAAGAAAACTGCAGCTCCAACCTTCGTCAGGACTTATGAGCGCACCGTGTCATGTTACGTCCTACAGGAACTTAACTCTGGGAAGGATGATCCTCAGAGGTCTCTATTCCACTCATAAAACAGAGGCTGCCTGTGCTGGCAAAGCACTTTACATAGAAGATTTTGCTCTTCTAATGAATTGTCCATATGTTGAGACAGAGCTGCACACATTTTATGGAGGATAAACACCATCTATCAGGAACGCAGACAAAAGAAGAGCCAGGAGAGGGAAAACATGCTCTCTCCTTGTAAGTTACAAACATGCACACAAGTGATCTCAGATATCTGTGTTCCTAACTTTTCCACTAAGTTTCTTAGAGTGAGGGCCAAGCAACAGGTTCAGAAATATCATATGCCGTCTCTTAGCACTGCCTGTACCACAGGAAATGCAGATGCAACACAGCATCAAAATGTCTCTGCCAGTAGAATGCTAGAGTGTCAAGAAAAACCTCTAATGCGGCCTCTTCCCTGACACGCTACTTTTCTACATCCTTATGTGGGAAACGTTCCAGTATGTAATTTCTTCATTTCTATTTTGAGGTAGTACAATCCAGAGAGAGCAAGACCACACAATACACAGGCCAATGCTGGAGACACTGTTGCTCCCACAGAACATTTTTGAAATAGACTGTTGAAATCCAGAAAGCATGCTTTCATGCAGACATTACAAATAGTTAATTTGTGTGTGATGTAACATCTCTCTGACAAATGCAAAGCTTTTTCAATGTTCAAGCTGATCACACTTGCAACACACACACACACACACACACACACACACGAAAACAAAACCCCAGTACAACCCATTCAAAATTGCCTTTCTGAATGTCACACTTGGCAGGTCACCTGCAGCATAAGGTGAGAATTCAGTGCACACCAGCAAGCATTGCACATAGTGAGAAAATAAGC